TCTGTTCCTGCTTCACGTCGTTCCACAACGTAATGTTTTATATCATTACCACCATCATCTTTCTATAAAATAAGAAAATAAAACAAAATATAATTGAAATTCTTTTTTTTCTAAATTTAATTTACTGGTGGTTTCCAATTAAGTGTACATCCTTCAGCAGTTACATTTGTTGCGTCAAGTGGACCTTCAGGTTTTGTTGGTGGTGAAAGAACATTAACACGAAATTGTACTTGATTTGTACCTTCACTATTTTTTAATACTAATTTATATATACCAGTATCTCCTCGTTCAGCTTTACGATTAAGTAATGTAACAACATTATCTAATGTCTAAAAGAAACAAAGTTTACTTTTTTCTTCTTTTTGTGTTTCTCTTCTTACTTTAAGATTCACACGATCATCAGGAGCTAATTCTTTATCATCAACAAACCATTGAGCTGTTGCTTTTGGTGTAGCTTTATATGGTATATGTAATTCGAAATCTTTGCCAGCTTTTACTGTTATATCTTTAATACTACCCAAATCAAGAAATGATGGTTTGTCTATATAAGAAAAAAGATAAATAAATTAATGATTAATAAATTATAATGATGTACCTGGTTGATCTTGAACAGTAATTGCATCTGTTGGTCGACTTGGTTCACTAGGACCAATTGCATTAACAGCTCGAATACGAAATGAAACATCTTCACCTTCTTTTAAATTTGGAACAGTATATGAATGTTCACGGCCTTGTACTTCGCCAACTTCAGTCCAATCACGACTAAATAAAAAAATTTAAAATTCTTATTGAAATTTTATTTTCAATTAATTATTTAAACAAACCCATCAGCTGTTTTTTTCTCAATAACATAACCTGTTATTCTAGTACCACCATCATTTGCTGGTTTTTTCCATGAAAGTGTTACTGAATCTTTTGTAATTTTTTCAACTTTTGGTTGATCAGGTGCATCAGCTGCATACATTGGTACTTCAGCTTTTTGTGCTTGTGATGGTTTGGATGGTGTTCCAGGTCCAGCACCATTAACAGCAGCAACACGAAATTCATATGTTTGACCTTCACGTAAACCAGTGGCAGTATACTCTGTACCTTTAGTTGGAAAACTATTGCATAGTACCCAATTATTACTACCCTTTTCACGCATTTCAACATTATAACCAGATATTGGATTTCCACCATCTTTTTTCGGTTTCTCCCATTTAAGTTTAATAAATGTTGAATTATATTCGACTATTTCTGGTGTCTCTGGTGCATCAGGTGCATCTAAAACAACACAAAAACATTCATTCAAAAGAGAAATATTGATTGTTTTTTTTTTACCATATGGTGGTTTAACAGTTATAGCAGATGTTGTTTCTAATGGTTCACCAATACCATAAATATTTTCAGCTTTAACTCGAAATTTAAATTTCTTATTTGTTTCTAAATCTTTAATAGTTCCTTTTGGTTGTGTAAATACACCAGGAACTTTTTCCCATCGATCAGAATTTTCTGCACATTTTTCAATAATATAACCTGTAATATCTCCACCGCCATTTTCTTTTGGTGGTTTCCATTGAAGTGAAACACTATCTTTTGTTGTTTCTGTTGTTTCTAATGGGCCTTCAGGTACTCCAGGTTTATCTAATACAATAACATCAATATCACATTCATCTTCACCCGAATCATTTTTCAATTGGATTTTATATTTTCCAGTATCTCCACGTTTAGCTGATGGTTTATGTAATTTAGCATGTATATCATCACTTTCAAGTTGAGTACTAAATGAAAAAAAAATTCAGTTTAAACCGAAAGAAAAAAAAATCATTTATAAAACAAACTCTCGAGTTGGTTGAACAGTTTCACCATCTTTTATCCAAGTAATTACTGGTGTAGGTGAGCCATTTATTGGTACATCAATAGTTAGTGGTTCACCAGCTTTGACACGTATTTCTTTTTTGCCAAGCGGACCAAATAAACTACTTAAATCAAATGATGGTTTTTCTAAAACAAAAAAAATTCAGTAAGAATTTCAGCTACAGAAAAAGAAAATATTCAAAGTTAGCATACCTTTTTCTGGACGAGCAGCAATGCCACCAGATGAACTACTTGGTTCACCTGGACCAGCGTCATTAACAGCAGAAACACGATATTCATATTCTTTCATAGCTGTTACATTTTCATCAACAAAGTTTGTTCCCTAGAAGAACAACAAGAACGTATGAAATTAAATAATTTCATATGAAACTTACTTTGTGAAGTTCACCACGATTAATTTTTGTCCATTCTTTCTTGCCTGTTTTGTCTCGACGTTCAACAACATAACCTTTAACTGGATTGCCACCATCATTTCTTGGTGGTGTCCATTTAACTTCAATATGTTTACGATCACGCGATACACATTCTGGTGTACCTGGTGCGCCTGGTTCAGCTATAGAGTTGAAATAAAAAAATTAATTCAAAATAAAAATAAATCAAACTAAAAAAATTTACTAAATGGATTTTTAACAAGAACAGCTTTGTCAGTGACTAATGGTTCAGAAAGACCATTTGCATTTTCAGCCATAACACGAAATTCATATTCATGTCCTTCTTTCAATTTTCCTATTGTTACTTGTGTACCATTAACAGCCTCAGCACAACGTACCCAATCACCACTCTTTTTATCGCGTTTTTCAACAACATAATTTCTATAAAAAATAGTCATTTTTGTCATTAGAGAAAAATCATATTCGAATATCTTACGTGATTTCTTTGCCACCAGTATCTGTTGGTGGAAGCCAGGCAAGTGTAACACTTGATTTATTAACGTCCTTAACTTCTAATGGACCGCGTGGCATTGATGGTGGACCAAGAACAATAACTTCACAATCAGCAGTGTCTGATCCAGAATCATTAACTAAACGAATTGTATATCGACCTGTATCGGCTCGAACAGCTTTTGTAATAATAAGTTTAGCTAATTTATCTGTTAGTGTCATTTGTGTACGATCATCAGATTTAACCTCCTTAAACAAAAGAAGTCAAAATTAAATAAATAACAAAAAATCTCATATATATATACATACAGTTGATTCTCGTTGCCAATTCATAGTTGGTAATGGTTCAGCTGCATATGGAGCTTCTAATGTTATTGTTTGACCTGCTTTAACAGTAACTGATTTAAGATTAACTTTATTTATACGTGGTTTTACTAAATAAAAAAGAATTTCTTTGATTGTCTTATTAAAAAAAGAGAGAGATATTTCATACAGAAACGTGGTTTAGCAAGAACTACTCTTGATGGTTCACTAGGTTCTGATGGACCAGCTTTATTAACAGCAACAACACGAAATTCATATTCTTTTCCTTCAGATAAACCACCACAAGAACCTTTTGTTGAACTACCAGGAATTTCTGCACCCTAAAAAAAACAATAATTTTCGTTTTTACATGAAAATAACAATAACAAATAATCAACCTTTTGCCATTGATCTTTTCCTTTTTCTCGACGTTCAATAACATATTTTTCAACAGGTGCACCACCATCTTTTTCTGGTGCTTGCCATTCAAGATCAACACGATCTTTATCCCAATCAGATACTTCTGGTTTACCAGGTGCACTTGGTTCATCATATGGATTTCTCGCTAATGTTGTACCACTTGTTTCTAATGGTTCACCTTCACCTTCTTTATTAACAGCACGGACACGAAATAAATATTCTTTTCCTGGTGTTAATTTGTTTACACGTAATGATGTATTATCTCCATTAACTTCACCAGCTGGTCCCCAAGTACCACGTTCAACATCTTGTTTTTCAACAATATATCTTTCAATATTTGAACCACCATTATCCAATGGAGGTTTCCATGAAATAACAGCACTTTCTTTCAGTACATCAGACACTTTCATTGGACCTTCAGGTTTACCAGGACGATCTTAATTATTAAAAAAAAATGAGATATTAAATTTTCCTTTATGATCAATTTATAATTAAAATATTCTTACCAAGAACAGTAACCGCAATAGGAATTTTAACTTCTCCTTTAGCATTTTTTAATATTAATTCATATTGACCTGTATCACCCCGTTTTGATTTTTCACTAAAAAAAATTAAATCATATTTTTATAGTAAGAAAAAACATGAAATCATTTTTTTTGTCTTACATATTTAATTTACATCGTTTTGCATCGATTGATGTTTGACATGATGAACCATCTCCAGGTTGAACTGGTTTACCATCTTTCAACCAAACCATTGTTGGTGCTGGATAAGCATCATAAGGAATTTCAAGATCAAGTGGTCGTCCAGCTTTAATTGTAACAGATTTACCAAAACGTGTTGCATCAATACGTGGTGGTTTTTCAGCTAAATAATTTTTATTAATGAGTTATTTTGAATATAAAAACTAAAAGATTTTCATACATTCTTTAACAGATATTTTGCAACTTTCTTTCAAATCACCACATTGAAATGAAATTTCTCCAGCATCTTTAAGACCAACACTTTTTAATTTTAATTTATAAACATTTCCTTCAGTAAGGATAACCGTTCTAAATAATAATAAAATAAAGAATCGAATAAAGTATATGATTATATTTTACTTTTGATCTGGATACATGACTTTGCCATCTCTCATCCATTTGCCTCGTGGATCAGGTTTAGATAATGTAACTTCAAGTGTAAGGTCTTCTTCTTCCAATGCATCGATATCTTTTAATCCTTTTTCAATTCGAAGTGCAGCTAAAGAGAAAATATTTTTTTTGAAAATAAAAGTTCAATAAGAAAACAAATAATTATCATACGTTTGATAGATACATCACAGTGTGTTGACATAACACCTGTTTTGCATTCATATCTTCCTTTATCTTCAGTTGGACTTAATTTCTTAATAACCATTTTACGAACTTTTCCATACGATATTATTTCATATCTATCAGGATATAATTCCGGAAGAATTTTCTATGATAAATAAAGAATTAAAAATATATCTTTTTGTTGATAAATAATATTTTACACTTACTTCACCCTCAAAGAACCAATCACATTCGGCATCTTCATCTTGAACACTACATTCAAGTTCAATTTTATCATTTTCATCACCTTCTAATGTTGCAGGTAATTTTGTTTCAAAACGCCATTGTGGTTCTAGTAAAAATATTTTAAAAATATTATTTTAATTTTTCCCCATATTGAATTACCTTCGACATAGACTGAACCAGTAGTTTTAATACCACGTTCATCATCAATTTGACATGTATATTCACCTATAAGAAATCAATAGATAAATAAATAAATTAAATTCGTTTTTCTAACCTTCATCAGCTTTAGTTGTTTTAAATATACGGAAGATACATCGTGTCATATCTTGATGATATTTCATACGTTTATCTTTTTCAGTCTAAATATAAACAAAAAAGAAATCAAATAGTAATACTATATGAGATTGTAATGTACTTTTGTGATATTCCTAAACTTACTCATGAAAAGTTGTTACGAGTTAGATTTTTTTTCAAAGAATTTAGAAATATCTCATATTGAATTTAGTACTGAACAAATACGAATTTCCTCTACAATTGTAATTCGTGAAGTATACACTTACGTCAATAAGAACTCCATTTTTATACCATTTAACAGGTGCATTTGGATCATTAACATGACATTCAAGTATAGTTGGTTTTGTTCGAAATACTTCCATTCTAGCTGGTAATTCTTTATAGAAATCATACAATGGTATAGCAGCTAAAAGAGAAAAAAGACAAAAATTCATATTTTTTTTTTTATAATATTATTTTTTATATACATACGTTTTACTTCTAACCATGCAGATGTTTCAACATCATTCACACGACAAAAATATTTTCCTGAATCATCAGGATGTAATTTATAAATAGTTAATTTTTGTCTAGATAAAATATTGATAGAGAGAGAATAAAAAAAAGAGAATTCTTGTAACTCACTTTGCTCCGCTTGAATCAAAATGATATTTTAAACCATGAAAAATTTCAACTTTATTTTTAAGCCTTTAAATAAAAAATATTGAATTTTCTATTACAACAAAATCTAATCTTATTTGAAACCTACCATCGTATACGTGTACTCGGTTTGCAAAACGTACAATTAAATGTAATTTCTCCATCTTCTTCTTTACATTTAATATCTTGTAATGGTTCAACAAATGCTTCTTTTTCCTATTTATGGCAAATATTCAAATGTATTAGATAAGTTCATATCACATGTATATATATATATATCATGCTCATGCATTATCAAATCCAAACACATGTATTGACAAACATTCATGCATTCGAATAAATAAAAAACGAATAATGTATATATATATATATAGCGATCTGTGGCCATTCCGAAGCAGTAGTTTAAATATTGACAAATATATATATATATAAGTCCATGATGCGTATAAATATGGTTCACCTTTTCTGGTCGTTTAACTTTATGTAAAGTTGGCCAATCAGGTACAACTTCAGCTAATGATGGTCGACGTGTTTTGGAATCTCGTCTAACTTTAAGTAAATTTTCTTGATCAACACGACGAAGTGATGGTCGTCGATCATCCATTATACTTGAACGACGTGAACCAGATCCATTATCATCGCCACCACCCGTCTGAGATAATATAGATATTCATAACAACACATAAAAATCAAAAAAAAATGCATTCTAATTCTGATACTATTTTAAATATCACCACAAGAAATGATTAGGTTCTATTTTACTTTTGGTTGAAAATTTTTCTAACTAAGGTTTTTTAATAAAAAAATTTTATTGATGAATCTATTACCTCTTCTGGTTGATCCATACGAATTTGTGGAGCTAAAATAAAATCGAATAATATTTTT